GCTGAGATTCCTCATCTCACAATGCAATATAACAGGATAGACATTGATAAAACAATTGTTTCGCTGCCTGCAGGACCATACTCCACAACTGTCTTTTACAAACTGAGGGAAGCAAAAATATAATTCATTAAAATGCTCCATGAGCAGAAATCCCACTCTTTCTTCAAGAGTGGGATTTCTCTACCCTTTGCAGCTCATCATAGGGAGTGATGCTGACTTTATTGACATTATTACAATGTATTTAAAGGTAAAAGGTTTTTTGTTTGTTTGTTTTTGTTTTTTTTTTTTTGTTTTGTTTTTAGTTAAAACAAAAAGCATATCAATTTAAATGTATAGAGTTGTCATTCAAAAATATCAAGAACTATCCAAAACTATCAGACTCCCATCTCAGGTGCAAATGTATGGGTGTACTCCAGCACAGAGATAATGTTTTTTTCATCCAAAGGTGACTGAAATCTCACCAAAATTCATGAAGCTCGTGCATAGTTCTGAGAACAGGATGTGTGCTGGTGTTTTACAAGTAGCGTGGAGGTTGCAAAAGGCAAAAATGAAACACCAAAACACCTGCCTCTGCTTCATGCTTCCTTTGTTGCTTGCCTCTTTCTCTGTCGATGGCCAGCAAAAAAAAAAAAAAAAAAATGGTCATCTTATTTTCATCAAGCAGCTAATAAAATTTTTCATAATTATATTCTACAATGAGCAAACATAGGGACAAATATGAGGACTTCTTTTGGAGAAAGTACAATTAATCATTTCACTTCCACTCAAGTTTAAAAGGGAAGTACTTGCTCATGAAAAATGTTCTTTAAACAAAGAGGGACACCGGGGCCAACAGAGCTGGGAGGGCTGCACAGCTGCAAGCGCATCGCATGATGAGAGAATGTGCCACAGCTGGCAGCCCATATGAGGGATAAGTCCCCTGCAGAAAATCTGCACCTATGAAACAATGGGATGAATTTCATTTCAGTTTCACAAAATTGTATTGATTAGTTGTTTATGTACAAATTATGGCTTTCTTTTGCCTCGTTCAGTTTATAATGTTATTTATAAATAAATTCATTCAGACGGAAGTTTGAAAATTACAGCAAAACAGCTTACTGAAGAAAATGAAGATGAATATGTGGCAAATATTTTCGTGAACATTACATGAAACAACTCTTAAATCACATAAACATGAGAAGGAATGGGATTTAAGTTTAAGCATATCTTTTTATTCTTTTCCCACCCTTGACTTATTTTCTTGCACAGTACTTGGCAAAAGAGGCCTTTTCTGCTTTTACTGACTTTTTATCTAAATTCTTCTCGAAAATAATGTAACTGTAAAGCTTTCCAGTGGTAACTCAACAAAATATAGAGAAACTTAAGAGCTTGTGGTACTCTAAGCCTGAATATTTACCCACGTTACGATCCCTGAGGGGATCTCTTCAGTGTATATAAATATCTGAGGGGTGGAGGACAGAAGCCAACCTCTTCTCAGTGGTTTGTGGGGATAGGACAGGGGGCAATGGCTGCAAGTTAGAGCACAGGAAGTTCCACATTGACATGCGAAAGAACTTCTTCACCGTGAGGGTGACAGAGCATTGGAACAGGCTGCGCAGGGAGGTTGTGAAGTCTCCTTCTCTGGAGATATTCAAGGCCTGTCTGGACACCTACCTGGGCAGCCTGCTCTAAGGAAACTGCTTTGGCAGGGGGGTTGGACCCGATGATCTTTCGAGGTCCCTTCCAACCCCTACAATTCTGTGATTCTGTGACTCTGTGATGCTGTCTGAATGGCACTGTCTGTGTCTTCTTTAGATTGGATGTGAATTATTCTCTCTCCTTAGCTCAACATCAAATGTATTGCTATTTTTGATACATAGCAATTATTAAATATGGCTATTATTCTTCAGTACAAAATGCATATTTAAAGCTATCTAATGGACAGCTGTAGAGTTAATGTTTCATCATTTACCAGCTTCCCTACAAGTGGACCTGAGATATCAGCTTTACCATAGGAGATAACAATGGTGCCAGTATGGCAACCATGTATTTTAGTTCCAGTGGCTGTGCTTTCTATTTTTTTTCCCTTCCATTACATGAAGTATGTTGTAAGGTTTATCAAGTCCTTATTAAGAGCTGCAGTTATTAAGAAATGCAACAGATGTCAAAATACTACATAAGCACACAAGATACCACTATAGAATGTTTATATTATGGTGACCCTTTTTGTAAACTCTTCACTTTTTATACATTGTTTTGTATAAGCTTTAAAAAGGATGTGGTTAGTCTTTTAAATAGTAGCAGTATGGTGATTTTTAAAGTTCAAAATACATCTGAATTTCATAGCATTCTTACATTTCATACCAACTTTGTTAATATTTACTCTTCCCTGTTATTTTTTTTTTGCATAATTTTCACTCAAATCTTTACACACGTGCTATAAATAATGAACTGCAATTAACACTTAGTAACTAGTCAAAAAGTATCTATTAAAGTAAACTTCTCAATGAAAAGGAGATCTATCAATGAAAACGAAACTTCTTAATGAAACTTCTTTAAAAGTGGCAATCTTCAGCAGGTAAAATCTGTGCCACTTCTGGCTATCCCTGTAGAGATATGACTGTGTATGTTTTATTTCTGATTTAGAATGTTTCTTCTTTGCTATCAACTGCATGTATTTCCCTTTGGTCTGTAACAGGCACCTAAGAATAGTATGTAGTCACTATTTTTTTATTTTTTTTAAGTGACTCCATGGGATTATAAGTACAATTCACAAAATATATGTACGTATATTTTACAATATGTAATTGTATCATTATGCTAAAATGTCATACATAGTTTTTAAAAAATCCCCGAAAAAAATATTTTTCTCTGCATCTTTGCAAAAAAATTTAATGATTCTTTAGCTTTTATAACTTAGTATAGTGGAGAGACAAACAAATTATGGAACATATTCCTGTATGCCTGTTTATCTAAATGGATGTATTGATGTTAATTATGAGCAAGGATAGCATTTGCTATTTTATTGATACTTTACAAAGGAAAGCTGAGCTGGAATAGCTGAACGTTCCTAGGGTACTGAATTCTCTTGCCCTCTGTTAGCTTAAGGATGCGCAAGCCAAGACTTCCTCTCTTGCCTCATTTATGAGGGGAAACAGAAGCCCTCCCAAGGCTAGGCATCCTTTTTGACCTCATGATCTAAGGTCTAGGGGACCAGCTTCAGTGATTCCTGTTATTTATCCATGCTGAAGTGTTTTGCTGCATTTGTCTGAAAAATATTCTGCTAGCTTCTCTTCCCTTGTTCAGCTTTATGGAATATGGAGAGGAACAGCATGCAGAAGAAAGGTTTTAACAATTCTCTTCAGGTGCATACAATATGTCACCAGCACTGTTTGGTGTTTCAGTTTATTTGCAAAAATATTTCAAATGTTTAATTCTGAGTACACTAGTGGTAATGGCCTGAAAACTTCCATTTCTACCCTAAGGTTTACAAAGGTGTTGCCATCTTATTCTAAACACATTTTTCTTTTAAATATGAAGAATATAATGAAAGTTTGTTTGACTACATATCTAGACACTGATTGATATTATGGTTATATGGACTGTAGCTGCATGTAAACAAAATGGTGATATGATAGATTGGCTCAAATAATTTCAGTACCCTTTCGGAATCCTGATTTAATGTTATCTTCCAGGATATGGCCACAGAAAAATAAAATGTACAACAGCTATATATTTGGAAATTTTCTCTAAGGGCTATATTACTAATAACTTGAAATAACAGAGACGTACAGGTTGGCTGTTCAATTGATGAAGCTTGTATTTTGAAAGTAATTTGTGATGGTAATGTCATTCGCATTCACATTGCTTGAACTGGCTAACTGGATTTGTACCAATTGCTATTGCCAAAACAATTGTCACACATTTTAGATATGCTAGTAAAAACATGTTCCATTTTGGACCAATTTTAAAAGAGTACATGTTGACTCTTCCTGTGTTTAAACACAGACACCTGAATATTCATCCCATTCAGAATAGCAAAGAAATGCTGTGGCCCTCTTGTTTACAGTCCAGTAGACTTTTACAAACCAGCACTTTCCCCAGACTTTAAGCGTAAGATTGGAACAATTTCAAAATTCCATGAGAGACCAGGTGTGTGCCAAGCTCATTTCATAGATCTTTAATTCATGGATACTGTTAAGCAAATGCATAGAAGACATTCTTATCCTCATTGGACCTGCTTAAATGCTTTAAAAATAGACTACTTTTTGATAAAATGGTAATGTAATGTATTAGTAATAACTTTTTATAAAGTGAACACTAAAGAATGTCCAAACTGGATGACATTGAAGATTTTTACCAACACTAACGTTTAAGATTCAATGAAATGTGCTGACAACTATGAAGTCACTATCTTAAAAAGGAATCTGCTGATTTATTGTTAAGCTTCCATTAGCAAAGACTGCTAGATTTCTGTGTATTATTCCTCCAGCAATAACTGTTTTGAACGCATTTCATTTAGCATTTTCAGTTGTCTTCCTTCTAAGCAAACAACTCCACCACCTAAAAATATGCAACAACTCATATTAATTAAAACAAGTCTATTTGACTGATAAAGTGGTGTTTCAGAATGACTCTGAGGGCCATAATTTCAAATTAAAGGTTGCACTTCTTTTGCCAAGGTTTAAAGAGATTCGTCAGTGCATTAGCAAAAGGAAAAAGAGGAAACCAGCCACCTCGTTTTATAGCATTCATCTGGGACACTTGCACACGTAACTGTGCTAAGGGCCCATATAGCCAGATGTTATACACTTACCTTAACCAGGGGATGAAGCAGACAGCCACAACAACAACAACAATTTACTGTTTTGTATGATTCAGTGGTGTTGGCTGATGCAGTGGAGGTGGTGAGGGGGGAACACAACAGCAATGAATTGGTAACAAATTTGGTATGAGCTTTCTTTTCTGAAAACTGGTTTAAAACACATAATAACGTTAATTAAAAGTTCTTTCTCTTTCAGGTGGGAGATGAAAGAAGGTGCAGATCTGGAAGATGAGGAGAAAGTTATGGTGGAACACTTAAAAAATGTTTATTTGACACAAAGCACTCCTACCTCAGAGGATAAAGATGAATAATTACCTTGACAGGTTTCGGGTAGCACCTTTTTCTGAATTCAACATGATTAACTTAATGGCTTAGTTATAACTGACAGGAGTAGAAATCTCAGGAATATATATCTTGAGTAGGAGTTTTAAACTAAAGAATGTTCCCCTGTTATTGTCTAGTCACCCCATCCAAGCAGCAGTTTTTTAACACATGCATAAGACAAGCAACAATATATGGAAATGTCAATGTCACAAAACAAGGAAGGTGTTTCTTGATACTGCGGAGGCATAAACCTGAATGACAAACCAAGAGCTGCTTTAAAATTACAAAACTCACAGTGGCATCTAAAAATAAGGCAACTTTGGACACATTCTAAGCAAACACCGGTGATGTGTTGGCATCTACCATTTGGTACCTGGCTGGTGTCGGAGCAGAGCTCAAGGACTTCTTCTTTCTCTTGGTGCTTGTGTTCTGCTTAGTGCTGGCACTAAACCACACAAAAGGGGTGGCAAAGGATGTGTTTGGGCCATGGGTCTGCAGTCCTTGGCGAATCGCTCTGGGATAGGTACAGCTGGCCATTATTCTCAAGAGAAAATGCACCACATTATTGCCCTCACAAAGTCTGGACTTAGCGTCCAGTTGGTTATGGCTTCAAGGACTGATCATAGTGAAACCTGCTGGCATCATTCAAGGTTTTGAGATGGGTCTTTTTATTTTTAAATATATATATGTTCTTAGGAAATGATCAAAGGGCTATCTTAACAGTGAACTGAGAATAGAAAGAATACAGAAACCAATATTTATTTTTGATAAATATAGTAAAATTCCATTTTCAAAGTAAGCCCTGTCTAATATACAGATTTACCAAATACTATTTGTTTGTTGTTGTTGTTGTTTCCAGTTAGAGATCTTGCTCACAGATTAAAAATACCTATTGAGTTAGGCAAGAACCTATTCTGACAATAATTTTTACACAGAGGTTGTGGTTTGTATTTCCATAGTTTTCTAAAAATAATCCATCATTATTCTATTTGTTTCTTGCACTAGAAATCCAAGGTAACTGTCTTCTCTGCCTGATTCTGTCAAGATCTTGGTAAGGCTGTAATCTGAGCTGCAGCTTTGCCTATTCCCAGTCCATCTTCTCACAGATGCTATTATGGACATAACTCAGACCACTTGAATAGGAAGGGAGGTATATTTTTTTCCTAAGATTGCAGCAGCAGCTTGGGTAATCCTAAAAGTAATGCTGCCATAGGGTCTAATCTGAAATGCAGTTTTTCCTCCTCTTAATTGCTCTTTTTTTTATCATGCATATAAAATATTTGACCATTTAAAATGAAAATGGAGACTGCTGCTTCTTACAAATCTCCAAAGATCTTGTTACAACACTGCATCAACAAAAGGGATATGTGGTACTGGTACTTCACAAATGCTAAAAATACTAGTTAAAACATAAAACAGACTTTTTCCTCTACCAGTGATATTGTCATTTTGGAACATAAAGAAGTGATGAAGTGTAAAAACAAATTTTCTTTTCTTTGTATTTCACCTTTGAAGATTAGTTGTGGTTTTAAGGCTTAAAAAATGGCTACAGGGATTGCCTATTACAGCAGGTGCAGTATTCTGACACAAGGCATACATGTACATGCTCCAAGCCATACTAATACTGTGTCTGTGCTTGTGGAAGTTGGAATTAGAATATGCTTTCCTGTTTTAGCAAAATCTATTGTACATAATTAAATTTTTGTATAGTCATGTAAAGCAAATTTCTGTCTATGTGGTGGAACTGACTGAAATACAGTTTGTGAAAAAGCTCTGCTTCTGGGAAACCCTTATTATGAATACGATAAACTTTGCAAGTGAAATAAGCTAACCCTCACTTGCTCTGAAATGGGTATGCCCATATGGGGGGTGGTTCCAAACTGGTTATGATGCTTTAAATTCACAACACGCCTGTTTCTGGAATAATCTGTAAACAGTCACGTTAAAAAAAATCATCTTTATGCCCCTTCCTCCCTTTTCTCCCAGCCAAATTAATTCAGCAGTAACCCAGTGGGTTAAGAAAGATGATTTTGTCTTTCTTAGCAGCATATTTATAATCTTTACCAGTGTGGAACTGAGAAACTAGAATAACTAGCCTGAATAAAAGCTGTACCTTTGCACAATACTTTATTTGGATGTTTCCCTTATCCGAACCTATATGTATGTAATACATGTCTTTTAGAGTCTGAATGCAGGATAACATGTGTTTGAAGTTGAACCTGTCCGTCGGTGAGAAATAGCAGGGCTTGGTTTGCAGTGTAGTGATCCTATTAACTGACCTTCAGGATATAAAAGAAATACCATCCTGGCACCGTCACTTATGCTGAACACATGCTTTTGTAACATTCACATTTGTTCAAAGAAATTACAGTAATAATAAGAGTCGTTCTACTAAGATTGCTAAACATACCATTAATTTATCAAGACTGCTTACTTTAAACTTAAACCCTTAATTGAAGAAAAATGAAAGACACTTGGAAGAGCTGATTATTTTTACATTGTAAAGTGTGTAAAATCAGGAGTGCTTGTATAACAGATTGCTACATTCTTTGGCACTTTTAAAATAAATAATAGTTCTATATTCTTAGACAAAGTTCTTCTGATTCAATAATTGACTTAAGATTGCTTTCATTCTGGAGAGCAATAGGTTCACAATGCCACAATGTTCTGCTTTTGTATTTTAAGTACTGTCTCTTTCTCAGTACTTGTTGACCCAAGAATGTCTCACACTTACATTTAGCCTTAATAAATTAAGGCAATGATGGCCAGATTTGCTGGCTGCAACACTATCCCTGTGTTGCATGACTAGTGCAGTCTGACCACATTAAATGCTCCTGAAAGAGAGTCAAAAATAAGGATAAAAGTCTGTTATATACAGCAGACCTTTCTGTATGGGCAAAAGCTGGCCTTGGTGGCTCAGCACGTAGCTTAAAAGGAAATTATTATACTTACACAAGTGAATTGGATCAGATAGCACTACCTAAGTACTTAAGGACTGACATTAGAGCTGGCACCTAATTCACATTTAATATTTTAGTATGCTAAGCTCTCTTTACTAAACTGTGGCTAAAATGAGAGATTTTGTGGCAAGGAATGCCTGTAATTATGTTTGTTCAATATCCAGTTCAGGGTGCTCCATGTCTTAGCATCTTGGCACTTTTGAAAGGCAGTCAATAAAAGTAGAAGCAGGGCAAAACCGAGATAGCATTAACAGTAAAGAAACTCCAGGAAGACAGGCGAGAGAGCGAGAATTTTGGAAAATGACAGACACTGAGACATACCCCTGCCTTTTAGGGACTGCTGTCCTGACAAACAGTCTCCCACAGATCACACTTTATTCTGGCAGAGGGCTTTTGTAAAGACCACAGGCAACAAAGCTGTTTTTTCTAGAAATATGCATGATGGTGAATGGATGTTCTCTAATTCGTCTTCACATCCTCACAGTAGTGCAAGATAGGCATGAGGCCTGGCTTCTTCTAATTAGTCTCCTCACACAGAAATATTCCATTTTCCTCTCAGATGGGAGGTCTTAGCAAAATAGTACTGAATCTTATCTACAGAAAGATACCAATTATATGCTGACATAGAACTATGTTATAGAACTCCTTAAAAATACATGCAATCATTCATAGTGAAAGACACAATTCAAACTTACAAGGCACTAATTGAAAGACTGAGCCTAATTGAAAGACTTATAGCCTTATGCTTGAAACAAGAGCATAACTTGATGTCAATGGGAAGACCTCTAAGCAAGGATATAGATCTCAAGTAGGTCTTGGCCAATAGGAAGCTGCTTCCTTGCAGTAACCATCTGTGTGGTAGGCAGTGGCATGAGTGGAAGCATCAGCTCTAAACCATTTAAATGTGAGGTCCAGGAATCGGGCAAGTACGAGCTTGGTTTTCCCTCTGTCAATGGACCACAAGACTTGGGCAGTAGACTACACTGACTGGCGTTATAAGGCAGGTAGTATGTGAAATGCATATAAGGCCTTGAGCAGTTTGGGTGTCAAATTTGGCCTTGTAATACCCACCAGTAAAATGCTTCATATGAACCAGATGCTTCATCACTACCTTTCTCTGTAGCAAAAGCATCTGAGCAGAGTTTACATCAAGCGAAACAACTCCACAAAGCCGACAAAACAAACACAAAACAAAACAAAATAATCAAAAAAGCATGTAAACATGCAAACAAGTAAAAGTAAATCCAAATCCTCTTCTGTTTTTCCTGAAAAAGCGTTTCTGTAGCAACAGTCTCAAGAACTGTCAATTGCCAAGTATTAATGACATAAAGCGATCTTCTGAATTAAGATTGTATATAGACAACTATCCCTAGCTGAGAAGGAGGCATTTAAATCATGGCTAGCGCAAATTTGGTAACTACCAGTTTGGGCCCTTTAGATCCATGGAAACTTCAGCTGCTAATAGATTGCAACCACCTCTGAGAATCATAAAATGATCTAGGTTGGAGAAGGCTTTCAATATCATCAAGCCTGATCATCCACCTGGCCTACCAAGTTCCACCACCAAAACCACATCCCTTAGTGCCATATCCACACATCTCTTAAATACCTGCAGGGACGGGGACTTCACCACTTCCCTGGGCAACCCGTTCCAGAGCTTGACCATATGAAGAAATTCATCCTCCTACCCAATCCAAGCACAACCTGCCACAACTTGACACCCTGAGAAAAGAGACCTCTTTAAAACTTTCCCAATAAATAAATACATTAATTAAAATGGCTGTAGAACAAGCTTTTACTCGTATAAAACACCTGATGTATGGTTACCAATGCACCAAAGCATGTTCTTTAGATAACTGTTAATGACATGGTCATACATACTTTGTCCCTCGATGAATTCGTTAGAGGACAGATACATAGTTACACAAGCAACTGTGGGGAGTTTTTAATCACATAATATCCAAGTGCTTTACCTTTTGTCCCATAATCTCTTATTCCTATGTAAAAAGTTCTATTTACGTGATACTTGGCCTCCATGAGGACATAACACTTCATGTGCTATCTTGGCTCTGATTTGTTTTCCACCTCAATGACCTTCAAGCATCCTTGAAAAACTTACTGCTTAACGTTTGATATAATTTAGAGCATAGGTGCAGTTCAAACTGTTTTACCTGGGCAAATAACTCATTTTCTAAATTAACTGTCACAGAGACTTAAAGCGGAGTAAGTCCTATCTGAGTAATTATTTGAGGTTTGGGGCTGTCTGAACCCTCCTCCTGCTCGTAATGGTCCACATGCATTTCATAATATCTATGCTTTTTGATTGTTCTAAACTACGTGCATTACCTGCGATAATGGGAGCTACTTATATACTTTATTTTTTGATTTTTGTTTGTTTGTTTTAAGTAAAACTAATGTGTTCTGACCTAGGTTTTGTGTCCTTGAAGTCCTCTGAACTTTATGTTTGGAAATCCATAACTCACCTGTTTTCCTGTCAAACACCTATTTACAAGCCAATGTAGCTTATGCCTTCTCAAACCGGATGTGATATACTGTTTTAGGGAATGAACAATTTAATAAATGTAAAATTCAAACCGACCACCTGCAATATTATCATACAAGAAATGTAGTAATCGTCTACGCCTGGAGTGTCACCTCTCTGTATATTTCTGATATAGCACCATTATGAAAGTGTTTATTTATGTTCTGTACACTTTGTTGATATCTTTGATTCTACATAATAAACATGACTTAAATGGGTTTTATTATGTAGATTAAGATTATTCTTTCCCTCTAGAAAATGGAATGAAGATTTGGGAGGTAAGAGGTTGAAACAGCAGGTGGTGTACGGACAAGCAAAGAGATTGCTTTCTACAGTAAGCCAGATGTGGCTTTGGGAATGAAATAATCTTGGCAGAAACCCCACGTGCAGGTATGTATTAACTTCAGGAAATTGATGTCTCAACATGTGCTATGAAGTGTTTCTTCAGAGGCAAACAGATCAGGTCACTTCAATAGCAACAAATTTCCAGTTTCTAGCTCCCCAATTACGACCAAGGCCCTCAGATTTCATAACTGTCCATCTACTTTTTCAATGGACAGATTGATGTAGGTAGCTGGATTAATGCAACATAAATGTATTGCATGATTCATCTGTCCCCCTCTTCTCTCCAGACAGACAATTAACCAGAACGAAGCAGACCGTTTATTTCCAACACCTATCCAGGCACCTGGTCAACAGTGTTGAGCAAGATTGTACTTGTACCAGCATTTGCTATCAGATCACAGTACTTCTAAAGCCATGAATCAAAGAAAGTTTTAATTTTTCATGTTTTGAAAAGTATCCCTGCTATGGTTCTTGAATTTCTGTACCAAAAGCAGCCAGTTCTCTAGCAACCCTTTGTCTTCCCATCCCATCCCATCCCATCTCATCCCATCTCCAGTTTTGGCCAAGATGTTAGTTTTATGGTATCTCCTGATGTTTCCAGATGAGACTATGACCACTCCTCACTCAGCACTGTACCAAATGCATAAAAATCTGTACAGTGTGTACAGATGAGATACCAAAAGTAATTCTCCACGCACAGCAGTGAAACACTGGTTAAAGCTTCTGCATTTTACCACTAACATTCCTTGATATTTGGGCTGACCTCCAATCTTACAAGCATGAAGGTGAGATGCATTGCTTTGCAAGAGTTTTTTGTTTGTTTCTTTGTTTTGTTTTTGTTTAAAGAGCAGGAGAGGAAGGAGAAGGGATTGTTTGTTTATGCTGTTTACACTGCTATTTTAATTCTATTACCCTTGTTGCTGGTTTGGTTTCTTTCCATATTCGTGAGTTCAGTCTTTAAAAAGTGTCTATCATGGCAATATGCACTATAGGAACTAATTCAATCTAGGTATCTCTACTGAAATGGTCTATTATTAACATGATTTCTTAGTTCAGCTTTGTCAGATCTCTCTCTGATATCCACTGTATTCCTTCTTTGAAGTGGGAACAACAGAAAAAATCTGGTATCGTGCTGTGCATTTTTAGGGATCTCATTTTTCCAACTTGAGTGCTGAAAGGTGCACTTAAACTACATAACAAAAAAGGTACATGTATTTGCTTTTCCACTTTATATGTACACAAATTGTTTAGATGACAGTTGTACTTTTTTTTTTTTTT